AGTAAGAAGCAAATGTGGTTGCACAAAGTAAGCTAAAGCAAAATTTCAAGTTGTAGCTCAAGGTATATGTGAAGGGCCTTATTAAAGAAATAATTCGCACAATCCAATCCAGCATGACAAATCAGCATGTTGAGTTGACAAACAACCTTATCAAAGAAAAAAATTGAAGGGCCTCTCGTATCACTCATACATGTGCCCTTATGGAATCAAATCACGAATATCTTTACTAAGAGTCTATACAAAGAAACATTTGAGAAGTTTGTTAGTAGTTGGAAATGGTAGACATATACTACCCGACTTGAAGGGATTTGTGGAAATCCTGTTGATTTTGTAAATAATAGTAATAGGATTGACTTCATTTTATTATAATCCCCTATTATTCTCCTTAACTGTTGGAATTAGAGTTAATCATTGTTTCCATTTTTTGTAGGCTAGAAATCAAGGATTAGATTGACCTGGCACTCTATATAATAATATATATATATTGTAAACTCTTGTTCATTGTGAAATATACAATCATTTGACTCTCACTCACAAGAATCATCTCATAAGATCTTGGGTGGATGGCCTTTTTGTTGGCTTGGCTTTCAAGTTCAGGAGTATATAATAGCATGTCATGCATGCATATCTTTGGAATTCTATCATTGTGGAATTTTACAATTAGAGTCAGCTTATTTATTTCCCATTTTTTATTTCCTTTTTATGTGATTGTATGTAGAACTAATAATTGGTCCCTTGTTATGCAATCATTTCTCTATTTCTATTGTGTTACTGTGGTCATGTATTTGCCATCTAATCTAGCCATTTAGTGCATGTAGGCAGCATTTTTTTTTCCCCCACTTTTTAGAACTAGGATTTTGTGAGATTGGCTTTTCTTGACCTAATATTAGGTAGCTACTTTTTTGGCAAGTGAATCCACTGCTCCAGTCTAGTTAAAATTCAAGTTATGCTTTGTCAATGATCATAAGTATACAATTAATAATGTGGGATATAAATGTCGATACCTTCAATAATTTTTTTTTTTTTTAACTGGGGCTAATAAGTGATATCAAGCTTTTATATACAATTTACAAATAACCAATCAATAAGGAAGTTAATAATATTGTATAGATATACAAAAACCTCTCAATTGGACTTCAATACAAGTGCAAATTATTGGATTGAGCTTGTGCAAATTATCTGCACCAGGTAAGTTAACTACAGGAATGAGCTTGTGAATAACGGAACAAAATGACAAAAGCCCTGAAAACAACCTGATAAATGAATAAGAGTTGTCCAATCTCACCAAACGCAGAACCAAAGAGAAGCCTAGAATACAATTATATCCCATAAAAAATGTAAAGTATAAGACATGCCCTTAGAAATGTGACCATTGCAGACAAACCACAACCTACAAACTGCCTGTTGTCACAAATTACTATGAGCATCATGCTGACTTGGACAAGCAGCCAGACAATGACCCTGGATAAGGTGTCTGAAAATGGCTGGAACACACTAAAAAGTAATCCCAAGCTAGTTTGAGGGGCATCAGAAATGTGCTTGGATAATTGCAAACTGCTGAGCGAAAGGAATGAAAAGGCAAAGCCTGAACCACAAATGATCCACAATGAAAAGTAGAGTTGTGAAAAGTATTGCTAAAATCTTAGAAACCTCAATTATTAGAATGCCCACGAACTAGAATCCCCCTTGCTACATTTAGAATCCATTTCTCTCAATCCAGATAGAAGAATCAGGACACTTGGCTCCTTTTCTTTTAATTCATGTGAGTCTTTCTTTCAATTTCTATCCCATCCTATTACAGAAAGATCAGTTCTAGATAAACCCATTTGGAGTTCTTTTACAGAAAGATCAGTTCTAGATAAACCCATTTGGAGTTCTTTTTTCTTAACCTGATAAAACTATCTGGTTAGTTTGTATCCTCAAATATTGGAAGGCTGTCTATTGATAGGGTGTAAAGAGCTCGGAAGGAAAAAGGAAGCTACAATACTGTGCCATTGTGCATTACTTGCAGTCATAAGGTGCATGTAGTTTGGGACAAAAGATTAGATTTTTAAGGATGATTCGTTAGAGCTAATGTGGGGGAAAGGTTAATGTGGTGTTCTGCTCATGGTTTTTTTAAAGGGTTACAATCTCTTATTGGCAAAGAAATTATTCTGCATTTTCGCACTTTTGATTTAATTCTTTTATATATCTGCATAGAAAAATGACGAAAGCAAAAGCTAATACACAATCAAACATGAATTAACTTGTTCAAATCCAATAATTGAGACATGAGCGATTATAAGTTTGTTATCTATTGAAAGCAACTAGCTCAAGACAAAGGCAAGGAGGTACCTGTGTTAAAAACATGTTCTGCATTTTTAGCTTGGAAAGACTCCAATATTTTCAAAGTATTATGAACTTTGTCTTTAACCCGGTCAAGCACTACGGTACATTCTACATCATCAGGTGTTGACTGCCGCTTAAGCTGAATTCACAGCATGAAAGCTATCTAAGAATGGATACCATTTTCCCGTTATGGACGAACTTGAAAAAAAAAAAAAAAAAGAAAAAAGAGCCTTATACCAAGCAGAATGTCAAAATTATGGTTGTTCTGTTGAAGGAAAACTCAAAAATGCATTCACTTCGTTTTCATGAGTTAAAATACCAGCCTTCATAAAAAATATAAATACGAGTTGAACGGGAGGGAAAAATGTAGATGGAAGATTACCCCTTCTGGCCAATTGGACCTTTCTAATAAAAAGATTGTCTCTTCCATATACTCTCGATTCTTCCACATATTCTCGTCAATTTTATGCGGAGGCTGATGATCAGCTTCATCGATTAAAATGCTTTCCCCTGGAATGGCACAAAAAAAATATACATATATGAGAACAAAGGTGTCGATCCGATGCATGTTTACCCTAATATACATGTAAGATTGTACATTTTAGGAATCTTGGACGGACATACAGATGTTATATATAAGAATGCCGGCGTGATTTAAAAGATATTCAAGATTCGTATATGGTGCCCATGCTTGGTTAGACATAGGAATCTTAGATATTCAAGAGCAAATCTATTATCTGGGATACATTTAGATATCCAATATTTATGGGTATCGTGCATTTCAATGTATAGCCAAGAATGTGGAGATCTTAGATTCTCACACCCTATGTAAGCACCCAAACTTAATCTATTCCCATTTCAAGCTCTAGAAATCAAAACAAGCACTTTTTTTGAAGACAGTAAGATGCCAAGGGCAACAGTTAATCCCACTGTTCAGGGAAGAAAATTTACAACGCCGTGACACAGGCACAAACTCATGCGCCATAGGAAAATCTACAGGCAGCTAGTTCAGCAGCTTCGAAGGCGAGAGCGGGGAGGGTAGCAATTACAAGGGGAAAAAAAAAAGATTGCGTAAGAGAGATGAAACCTTGAGTAGGAGGACAATCAATGAGCAAATTATTGGCCATAGAACGAATTTCTGAAGAAAGACGAGATACATCATCAGAGAGAGGCTCAAAAGGGTATTTGTCGTAGTAAGACGCGAGGAAACTCCTAGTTATAGGCACAAGACCCTCCGTAGAAGCCATCCGATAGTGTGATCGAGTTCAAGATCAACCTCCTTGGGACTTGGTCTCTCTCGTCCTCCTTCTCGTCCTCCTGGGGTCTGAAAACTTCACAACAGAGTTTTAGTGCTCTGCTTTTATTCCTTTGGTATATTCTTTCATACGAAGTGGCGTATAACGGTGGCAGCTTAGACGAGTCACAGAAGTACGACACCCACCGACTGCTCCGTTACTTACGTAAACAAATTTCAATCCTTCACTTTGCTTTTAGATTTTTTTAAGAATAAATTCCCGCCGATTAACACGACAATCTTGTCATAGTAATTTTTGCAGAACCACTCTTACCGTGTAAAAGTTTCCTGGCACCAAAAAAAAAAAAATTTATGTCCAGAAAAATATAAATTAAATTTTTAAAAATTTAAAGATATGGTTAGTTCATAATAATATATAAAAAATTTATTTTTAAAAATTTAAAAAATATTTATTATTGATATACAATAATATGTCATTAATAAATATAATAAATTAATTATAATATAAAATATAATAAATATTGAACAGTTTAATTTATAATATGAACTATGTGGCATGAACTAATTATTACCTAAGCAATTTTCCATGATATTTATTCAAAAAAATTAATTGCTTAGAATTTAATATTTGACATGAAGTAATTATTACCCAAGGCTTTTCAAGATATTTATTTAAAAAATATATTGTTTAGAATCTAATGGTCTTATCTCAAATTATCAAGAAAATTAGATAAAAGATTTTTATAAACATTTTGACACCGCCCTACTATCACCACATAACTAGTGGTATTTTTATAATCTTGTAGGTCTCAAATTTTATTGAAAGAGCAAGTTCCCACAATTAATGTTTACTTTTATTTTCTTGATGAGTTTTCAAAATTATCCCCTCAATAAAAATTTAAAAAATAAAAAATTTATTATGGAAAATTAAATAATCACTTTAATTAAATGTTTAGAGAAATTAACAAATGATTTATCAAAAAAGAAACTAATAAATAAGTTGCAGTGCACCAAACTTATAATCACTATTAGATATTTAAAATTGTAAACGTTCCATCACTATTTACACTCTGACATGATTTGATTTCTTTTACTCTTGCACCGGCTGCATGTTAAAAGAATGAAAATTGTTGTTCATGTTAGATCTTTGAAATGATTCAAATTAAATTTTTTTTTTACCAGTTATTCAAATTACATTGAAAGAGATAGAATTTAAGTGATTGAAAACTAAAATAATTCTTCTTAAAAATTTATAGTAATAACTAATGACTAATAATAATGTATCAATATATATATAATTAAATCAAACATTATTTGTTAATCACAAATATCATGCTGCCATAAAATCCGCAGTTTAAGGGTTTTTTTTTTTTTTGGGTCATGAAATCTACACTTTTTGTTGAGTTAGATTCTTCAAATTCTATCTAATAGGTTGGAAAAATATAAGCAATGAAAAAATATTAATGGGTTGATTGAAATAAAGAGTTGAGTTGGTAAAATGTGTTTGGATAAGTCTACAAGTCATTTGATAGTATTGAAAAAAATTCTTCAAGTCTAATTTAAGTCATTTATAAAGCATGCTAGAACTTGGATATATGTGGGGTAAAAGAATTGTTGCTGTTGTTCTTGTTGATTAAAAGAGTTTTAAAAAAACATAATAAGCAAAAAGTGTATAATTATTTTCGGTAAAAAATTTGCTTTTAATGGTATGATTATTTAATTAATCACTTAATAAAAAATTAGGTGGTCTGACGGTCTTACAGAATATACAAAATTACAGAAAATAGTTTGTTCACAACTTGTGAATAAATTATTAATAATATTAATATAATTTATCAACATTGTCAATTCATCCTCAACAAAACATTCATTAACGATACTGATTTGGAAATTACTGAAATTATACTAAGTATAAAAAAATCATTTTAGATAACTCTGTTTTTTCCTAAAATAAGTGCAATTATTGAAGAAATCGCGGTGAATGAAAACTCCCATGCAAATTAAATGGCTATAGATTTTTGTATTTTATCTGATATCTCTAGCTTTGATTATTTTTATTTAATAAAGATGCATACCAAACTTAATATTTAAGATACATTGATTCAATTTTCTCTGCCCCTTCACTATTAATTTTTTTTTTTTTTTGCACAAACCCTTCACTCTTATTTAAAGGAAGAGAAAAGAGAAGGAAAAAATAAATAAATAAAACCCATCTAGAAATTAGAAAAGACGTAATAATTGCGAAGCCAAACTCTAGGAAACTAGAGTCTAATTTCATCTATATGTTTTGTTGGTAAGAGGAAGAAGAAATAGTTCCAAACCATAGGAACGCTTTCAAATATTCCAGGGAATATTACATGCCAATCAAATTTTTTTTTTTTTTGAGCCAGAAATGTGCCAATCAACTTCATTTCATAAATTTATTGTCACTAGCACATTTAAAATCACGACGCTTATCGCTTTCACAAGTGTCATTTCCTTTTCCTGTTATTATATATGTTGTTAGTGATGGCATGTTCCTTGCAATATGCTAAAAGTTCCTTTCAAAAATATTCTCCCCATTTTTTTACAGTATAAAATGTAGGTTTCTTGGATACTCATGTAGAGATTATATTTTTTAAAAACATTAAAAGCAAATGATGGATCTTTTCAAATAAAACCCTTACTACTCATACCCATTTTATTTGGTCTCGTCATTTTAATTTTATCACCCATGAAAATTTATTTTTATTTTTCTTTTGATTCCCCATTTCAGATTGTTAAGTAAAAAATTATATGAAAAATTTGACCCTTTCTCTCCATTTTTTTGGGTCAAAAAATCCTTGCTCTTCATCAAATATACACAAATTACAAAATACTGTTTTTGAAGACGTTGTCAGATTCCCATTATTAAAAATAAATAAAGTAAATGCAAAATGTATGATCATTTCTCTATCAAAAGAAAAGTTTTTTTTTGTCTTTTTTTTGGATAAATTTAAAATTCATAATAATAATTTTTATTTTTTTCTAAAGATAAGTTTAGAAAAGTTATATTGAAGTTATTGTGACTTGAATTAATTTATATTTATATTTACATTTTATATTTTATATTTTTTAAACATAATATCCAATTATTATAGATAAGAACTTAGATACTTAAATTTATATGCTTAATGTACTTTTGTTCAATAAAATTAAAGTAGTAAATTTTAAAAGGTTAATAATATTAAATACAATAATTTGTTACTATAAAATAAATATCCTAATTTAATTGAACACAAATATATTAAGTATATAATTTTATATTAAACATATTAACTAGTAATCATATATTTGCGGGTAGGATTATTTTTTTCCAAATACAAAATAAAGTTGAATTGAGATTAACCCTTCTTGTGCCGTAATTGCCTTGTAGTCCACATATTGTCGTCAATTTTATGCGGAGGATGATGGTCTGCTTCATCTATTAAAAAGCTTCATCCTTTCACCCTCCAATTTTTTTCTCAAAAAGTGTTTTTGTTTTCTGAATCCGTTACTGCTTGAACGACTTGAACTTCAGCAGAAAAACAATTATTCTCGCATCAACATTCCCTGCAGCACTTAAAAAGCTATCATCTTATTTGAAAAGGTGAGGCATTGCAAATAACATTAGGGAAAGGTACATTAACAACTTATAATCAAGAGAACTCTCTATTACAGGCATTACAAAAGCCTAAACTATGTCTGAGCCCTCACCATACCAACGTCATGTCTTAGTTGTATGGGTAAAGGTACAAATATGATCACATTATTTCTGCAGAAGCATCTAATAGTTTAAATTATGCATTCAATAATCTGCAGTTAACTTTAGTAGACAGACGTTATGTGAGACTCATAATGACACATGGCACTTCACAAGCACTTTATGTCAGCATGTGTAAAGATATAAATTTAGTTATCAATTATTTTTTGAGGAGCACCAGGTAACTTCTACTATAAAAAATAAATCATCTAACACATTTCCATCTATTTTGACTAAATATTATTTATTTTTAAACTTATGAGACCCACAATACATCAATATTTTTAATTTTCTTGCCTTCATTCTCAGTTGCAACTTGAAAAGAAAAAGTTTAAAGAGTTCTTATTTAAAAACATTTATGAAGATGATGACAACAAAGTAAAAGAAATAATTCGTGATTAAATTAAGCTTGAATCAAGTTTCTTCTATGTGTAGTAAAATCAAGCTTTTATTTTATTACCATTGTCCTCATGAGTGCCTTCAAATAAGAACTTCTTAAATCTCTTCTTCTCGAGCTAAGATTGAGAACGAAGGCAAAAAAATTGAAGAAATTAATGCATTGTGGGTCTTATATATCTAAAAATAAATGATATTTGATCAAAATTAATAAAAAGATATTGAATGGTCTATTTTTTATGATTGGATGCATCGTTTTTTAAAGTTCATAGTTTATTTCATATTATATGATAATTTAGGCTATCATCTGTTCCTAAAAAAATAATAGGGAAAAATTTCACTTGTGCCCTCTAAAAAATTATCATTTGCCAAAAAAAAAATATTGCCCTTGCATCCCTTAATTTTTTTTTTTTTAAATTTTGAGTCTTCACTCTTTATTACCTCAACATTTTCTCAAGTGTTCAACTAAGAAAGTTAATATTATTTTTATTATTGATTTTGAAGGAGATAGAGATATAGAAATTAAAAAGAATGTTGGTTGATATTATAAATATAAGTATATAATAAAATATTATTAAGTTTTTTTTTTTCAACTTCTCTAATAAAATAGTAATCTCTATTTTCTAAAATATAATAAGGCCATATTCTTTAATTTTTAAGTTATACTCATTCATACTCCTAGGTAACACTTTCCAATAAAATGTAAAATATTTTTTAATAATTTATATTGAAAAAAATTATTATAAAAGAGCATGATTCTTTGCATTAAAAAAGAGTATCAGGGTTTGATATCAATAGCTACCACTTATTCTATCATTTTCAATATATTTTTATTATATTAAGATAATTTTTTAAAATTTATTACAATTTTACAGTTGTTTATTATTTCTTATGTATTTAATTTTAACAAAATTATTTTTATTAATTTAATAAATAT